CGACTCACGGCAGCCGAGCTCCAGGTTGAGCTGTTGTTCAGCATCTTAGCTGTAGAGGGCAGTGTCACTGGCCCTCATATGTGGGATCCGAACCGGGACCCTCTGGCGTCCCAAGCCAGTGCTTAACCATCGCGCCACTCGGCTGGCCCAAGAGGGAAATATTTTTAAAGTTACACTGAACTATTTAAATGTGGCAACTTTTTTTTTTCAATAAAAATAGCCAATGCTTTACATACCTGAACTTCATATTATAACCAAGAGATAAGAAAAAATATTTCTTTAAATCATGGAAATGTAGGATTTTAAGAATTGGATATTAGGGCCAACCGAGTGGCTCAGCTGGTTAAGAGCTCGCTTGGCTAAGGCGAGCTCAGGGAGGACAGAAACCTCCCGTGGAGCAGAAGGGCAAAAGCTCGCTTGATCTTGATTTTCAGTACGAATACAGACCGTGAAAGCGGGGCCTCATGATCCTTCTGACCTTTTGGGTTTTAAGCAGGAGGTGTCAGAAAAGAGCTCGCTTGGGAGTGCCAGCTTTGAGCAGCAGGGCTGCGGTTCGGATCCCACATTGAGGGCCAGTGACGCTCACCCTCTACAGCTGAGATGATAAACTGCTGTGACGGCATAGGCTGCAGCGGGGCTGCAGTGGGCTGCCGTGAGCTACATGAGTAGCTGGCAGCCAGTGTGAGAGGCCGGCAGCCCGTGTGAGCGACCGACCAATAACCGGCGACTGATCTGCCTCATCCATGAAGAACACAATAATCATACCAACATGGGCCAGTGAAGCGAAGTCCTCCACAACTAGACTGAAGAACAAAAACAGCAATTTGTCTACCTGTCTGTTCCCCTTCCCCAATTCCCCAACGCTGTTCCCCTCCCCCCCAATTCCCCAATAAAATCTTAAAAAAAAAAAGAATTGGATATTAACCTACTTCAAACTCAAATGCCTTTAGAGGTTTAAGCAGGTAACTTAAATGTGCCAGGTCAATTACATACATAGGACAATAAGAGTCCTGGGGCTCTGGAAAGGTGAAATATAAACACCATAATTTAAAAAGATCTTCCTTCCTAACAAAAACCCAGAAATCTCCTCCCTTATAACTCTTATTAAATGGTTCTAACTTTGTGCTGCTCCCACCAAGTCACAGATAATGAGTCCTCTGCCACAAAACATCCATTTAAAAAACATTTGAGGGCCGGCCAAGTGGCTTGTTGGTTAAGAGTAGGCTTGGGGGCACAAGCTCTAAGCATCAGGGCCACCAGTTCGGATCCCACATGGGGCAGTGACGCTGAGACCTCTACAGCTAAGATGGTGAACAACAGCTCGACCTGGAACTGGGCTGCCGTGAGTCACCGGCAACAGCGTAGGCTGTAGTGGCACTGCAGTGGGCTGTCATGAGCTACCATGAGTGGCCAGCAGCCAGCGTGAGCTGCCATGAGCAGCCGTCCAATGGCCAGTGACCAATCTGCCTCAGCCAGGAAGAGCGCAATGATCACAGTACCAACATGGGCCAGTGAAGCAATGTCCTCCACAACTAGACTGAAAAAGAAAAGGACAGCAACTTTTCTGTTCCCCTTCCCCGATTCCCCAATAAAATCTTTAAAAAAAAAAAAGGAAACATTTGAGGGCAGTTATCTTAATGCAGTTAAGCATACCTACTAGTGTGCTTACTTAACCTGGTTTCTGGAGAAAGTCAGAAGGGGAGGAAAAACAGAGGCAAAAGATACAGGTAGAAAACAAAGTATCATGAAAAAATGGGGGGAAAAACCCCAAAACTAAAAGGTCAGGAGAGTATGACATGAATTAAGGTTTTGCGGGCAAGAGAGGGGTTAAGTAGCTTTTTTCTGATAAACTCAGAAGCCCTGAGAGAAGTGTCACTAGGATCCCATCAGCAAAGAGGTTATTTATTCTCTGAGCTGCCAACGCTGTGACTAACAAGACTCTGAAACCAGATGGAGCCAAGCAGTGGTCCAGATATGCCCAAGCATCATCATTCTTATTATATACATTTGGACATGGAGTCCCAGAAAGATACAAATTCCAGTCTCTGCATGGGCACTTAATCAGCAGAAAAAAGCCACTGAAAATACCACCAGGACACTGTTACCACCCTACTTCAGATTCTATAATAAAGAAGCATGAATGCACCTCACAATTCACTGTGTAGCTCAGCAAGAACGAAAACAAATGTGTACACCAATAGTTCCCAAATGATGGGCTCAGGCATCTGGGGCACCACAGAGAATTTTTAGGGGTACCATGAGATATTCTAAATTTTCAAGAGAAACAGCAACTCTTTTTTTTTTTTTAACTAAAATGATGGTTTTTAATAGAAACCACAGATATGGTTACAATTACATAGACCGACACAAAAAAAATCTGTGGGTGATCGGGCTTGTAAGGTTACAAAATAATGAGGGTAACATGGTATAGAAGAAAAGCAGTTCCAGAACCTCAGGAACCAGGTTAATATGGCCTCTCTCTGCGATCCTGTCTGTAGTCATGCCTGGAGTCTCTATCACCCCGCCCCCCTTGGAAGCCCCTATGGTCCCTGCCTCAGTCTCAGTAGCTGCTCGGACCACAGCCCACTCTGCCACCACAATGACCATCTCCATAACTACCCCCCATTTGAGAGCCTCCTGGTCCCCCCTCCTGGGCCATCTGGTTTAGGGACTTTGCACTGGTTGTATTCATTCCTCCAAGAGGAGTTCATGTTCTCAAATGTAGGATTAGAACACTTCCAGTCCCCAGCTCACTGCTGTCCTCTACCACCACCAACCCCACAGAGGAATTCTCCCCGGCCACGACCACCATCTCCACAGGCTCCACGGCCCATTGTTCTTTCTCTCAGCCTCCATGACCACTGCCACCACCCCAAGTAGCAAATGGACCTGGAGGCTTCCCAGAGAATTCTTTACCATCAAACCAGTCAATAGCTGTTTTAGCAGATGGGTCATCAAATGATACCAGTGCCTCTCCCTTTAGCTTCCCTGTTTCCGTCTGTGTGCAGATTAATCAGGGTCTGTCCCATTTTCTTATTTGTCTTAATAATACCAATATGCCTGAAGTAATCAGCCACAGACTCAATTGTAACATTCTCGCCCAGGTCTTGCACTAAGACGGCACTGTTGTCTGAATTATCCTGTTCAGAGTCATGACATGATCCTTGGTCCCAAGGGACACCAAATTTATTGAAGCCACCACAGTCACTTCCTCCCATACTGCCTCTGCCTCCATGGCCACCTCATGACTTCTGGGTTCACAGCCACCATTGCCACAGTTGTAACCACCCCAGCCATGGCCTCCTCTGTCCTGTTGACCTCCCCCATAGCCACTGCCCCACCACCACTCTGGTGGTGATTGCCACAACCACCACCACTGCCGCCACCACTCATGGGGAATTGATCTTGGTCATAGTTACCGCCACCACCCTCTCTACCCACTCCACTGCTACTGTTGTACTGGTTGTATTGTCCAGAGCCCTGAGGAGGATTAGACGTTTGCTGCTGGCAACAGCCTTGCTGTTGTCCACCACACCAGACTGGGGACCACGGCTGCTCTTAGTTGCTGCTCTGAGAACCGCTACCATAACTTCCCAAGGTGCTGCTAGGAGCTGGCTGCTGGCCACAGCCAAGGTACGAGGATTGCTGCCCATGAGACAACTGAGAATTCTGGCCACTGCAATAGCCACCTGTTGAGCCATAGCCTGTGTTCTAGGTCTGTCGCTAAGAACCATAGCTGCTCTGGCCATAGCCTGAAGGATCTGCTGACTGGCTGTAAGGACCGTAACTCTGCTATCCATAGGGCTGATTGCTCTGCTGGAAATAGCCCCATCCAGGCTGGGTGGGGTAGGCCCCATAGCTTTGGGCTTGTTGGGTATAGTCGTTTGAGGCCATGTTAGCACATGCACACAGGCAAACATGCAACAAGATTCTAACACCACAGAGCACTGACACCTTGAGGGCCAGAAATTCTGTCAGACATTGACGGAAATACTAGCTCCAGAAAGCTCACAATTTCAATATTAAATTCTACTACATTGCTTTTACTTACGTCAGATCCAAATCTTTGGGAAGTTGGATTTTTCAGTGGTTGCTATTGTAAAAAGCACCACACAAAAAGTCAATGTGGAAAAGTAAACAAATGTGGCAGTATCCAATCTGTTTCCAAGATTAGAGAAGTTATGTGGTACCCAACAGTGCACATATCCCATTAGTAAATAACTGGCTGTACGGACAGAGTAAGTACTTATGCTTTTTGGACATAACTATTTAACAAACAGAACCATTAGTTATTTCTTTTGGCCTGGGGCACCATAAAAAAATTACTGGACAAGAAAAGATGTCATGAAATAATTGCTGAGACACTAAGGTACTGTGAACCAAGAAAGTCTGGGAACCTTTAGCCTACATTCAAATATGGAATTCAGAACTTCGCAACCAACGAGAATATGTTCCATTATTTTAACATATACCTTCTTTCATAGCCAAAAGGACTCCTCATTTGGAAGCCCAAAATCTATCATCTTCCTAAGAACTTCTTAGGACACCAACTTCATTAGACCTTACAGATAAGAATTATCTTCTAAAAAGAATCTGACCATAATTATTTCTTCATTTAAAGGTTTCTAATGGTTCCTAGCTATGTACAAAATGAAATTCAACTTCCTTAGCAGGCACACAGGCCCTTCATAATTCAGCTCCAACCTACCTTTTCAGATTCAGTTACAAATACTCCCTAACACCTAAGCTTACACCATAGTAGGCTGTTCATTCACCATTACAGCTCCCTGAAATTGTCCTTTACCTTCTCTAGCTGGTGAAATTCTATTTGAACTTCAAAACCCACCTCCATTGTCACTTTCTACATAAAGCTTTTTTGGTCTTACCAGACCTTCCCCCACCCCCAATATTCAAATAAAAAAGTAATCCCTTCTTTCTCTGCATTTTCACTATCTCACTATATTACTGTCTTTACTGCTTTATCTCCCCTGCTAGACAGTGAGGGCCTGGTTGATCAAAGATCAGATCTAACATATAGAAAGCTCCTAATAAGTGCTTTTTAAATGAATGAAAGAACGAATTTTTTCCCTTTCTTGGCCTGCAGGCCTGACTCACCTGGATCTTGGCACCTTTGTATCTGATGACACCAGGCACAGTGGTCAGAGTAGTGAACTCATAGGCTGCCACCTCAGAATATACTCCTGCCAGGTTACTGAGCAGTGTTGACTTCCCCACAGATGGAAAGCCCACAAACCCAATTCGAGCATCACCTGTTTTGGCCACATCAAAACCTAAAATACCAATAAATATCAAAAAAGAGGAAGAAAGTTATCCCTGGGAGTATTGAGGCTCATGTAATTCCTTTCACATTCCGGCTGTATTATCTCTCTAGGACATATTTCTCCAATTTTTTACAGTTTACCTCTAGAATAGAATTTAAGCACACAAAATTCCCCCATAGCAATTCACAATTTTTAACAGTGTTTGATATAAAAACTTTATTCCTCCACCACTTAAACTGTTATATACCTTTCTACTACCCATTGTATTTAAGGCTCAAATATTACATATAACTGGTCTTAAAAATGGGTTTCTTTCTTGTCTTACAAATCCTGGGAACTGTGTGATTAACTGGGTTTTCTGAGGTTTTTTTGTTTTTGTTTTGTTTTTATTAACAATGGCTGCAAACAGGTTCAAAGCCAAATTTGTAGCCCTTCTCTGGAAGTACACAAAACCTATGGCATTACTTGGTCCTAACCTTCTCTCTCTTGGTTTCAACTTATTCTTCCTACCTTCATTTCCCTTTGCATCAATTTCCTTACTTATTTTTTTAGTGTTAACTGTATATATGTATATATTTCTGTAAGCCAATGTAAATCTATTTGGATCGATATAAGATATACATAAATAAAACCCTAGTTCACTTAAACAATATTCATTTACCTTTGAAACCAGCAGAATAATATAAAATACAGGACTCAAGAATTTAGGTTTAGGGCTGGCCGAGTGGTGCATTGGTTAGGAGTTAGCTTGGGATGCCAGCTCTAAGCAGCAGGGACCCAGCTGGCATCCCACATGAGGGCCAGTGATGCTGTGCCCTCTACAGCTAAGATGGTGAACAACAGCTCGACCTGGAGCTGGGCTGCCGTGAGTCGCCGGTGACCACACAGGCTGCAGTGGGGCTGGCGGGCAGCAGGCGTGAGCTTTCGTGAGCTGCCATGAGCAGCCCTGAGTGACCATCCAATGGCTGGTAAGTGACTGCCTCACCTGGGAAGAGCGCAATGATAATACCAACCTGGACCAGTGAAGCGACGTCCTCCACAACTAAACTGAAGAACAAAAGGACAGCAACTTGTCTGTTCCTCTTCCCAGATTCCCCATCGATGTTCCCCTCCCCCAATTCCCCAATAAAATCTTAAAAAAAAAGAATTTAGGTTTAGAAAACACAAACCTATTTTGATAGAAAAAAAAATTTTTTTACACAAACTTTAAAATTATTTTTTCATCATTATGCTTATATTATTTTGGTAGAAATTACACCAGAAAAAAAATGTTGAAGAAAAACACAAACCTTCTCCTGGCCCACCACCACCACCACCTTTTGGAGTAATGAGTTCTCTGCGAAGCTTAGCAAGGCGAGCCTTAAGCAGCCCTAGGTGGTGTGCAGTGGCCTTGTTCTTTTGAGTCCGAGCCATCTATAAGAGAAGAATCACAGCCATAAATCAGAAGCAGTTTCTACAGGGTAAAATATCCAGAATGAATGCTCCCCCAGCTCTGAAAGAATGATGTTTTTTCCTAGGTCCCTCTAATGTCAGTATACCCATTTCAGTCTGAATTAAAAGAGTAAAAATCCATTCTCTCCATCACCCAGCCCATTCATCTCATTACAGAGCAAACAACTGAGGCCCATAGAGGAGAGACATGACCAAGGTCATTACAATTAGCATCCACCGACTAGACTAAAACTCATCTGCTAACTCCTTTTTTACTGCTTGTACCTGGCATGCCCCATCTGACAAGTCACCAATTCGCCCAGTTTAAGGAGCTCTGAGCGCTTCTGGCAATAGAATCACACGCTAATCCAGGCGGAATCAACAGCTACCACAGATGTCAATTTATTTCTAGACCCTATTCCCGGAAGCAATACTCTAGGAAAGAGAGTCATCCAAGTAGAGATTAAGGAAGGTTGGGGGTTTCGAGGGATGATGACAAGGAAAGATACTGAAGTACGCGAGCGGTGAAAGCTAGAATACGGGAACAGGATTCTGTGTTGCTCACAAAAAAAGGAAGACTGAAAGAAACAATGTTCGGACAAGAACTGAACTCTGGAAGAGAGTACCAAACAAGGTGCAGGGGTGTGGAACGCGGGCCCGGGAGGAGGGAAGTCGGAGAACGCCGACCCGGACAGGGGGGAAATCGGGAAAAGCGGGTCCGCACTGAGGGGAGTCGAGGAACGCGGGCCCCATGGTGCAGAAAGGAGTTCAATCAGTAGCAACGCCGCGGAAGAAAGAACACTCCGACGGAGAGTAAAGTGCCAGTTGCGCCCACTACCTCGGCTTCGATCTCCGCAATCTTAGCTAACGTGCCGCTCATGGTGGTGAGTCGCCGAGGGCGCAATGTCCTCCACACTTACAGTCTTCCTTCACACACCCGCAGGCGGTGCCACAACCACCAAGCGCTACTTCAGTGCGCAAGCGCGATACTCCCCAGTTCTCGCGAGAGCGCTCCGCTCGAGGTTTACCGCGAGACGCACAGCGTGGAGTAGTCTCCTCCCCCTCAGGCAATCCCGCCCCGTCCCGCGAGCCAACGCGGTGTCATAGAGCCCGCGGGAGCGGTGGCCAGAGAGGCCGCTCTGGCCTGTACTTCCCCGAGCGCGCCGAGGGTCGCGCGCTGCTCGGCGCCGCTCGGCCCCGCCCGGCCCCGCCGGACCTGCGTCGTGCGAGCGCATGTTGTGTGATGAGCAGGTCTTCGCTGCATGTAGCGCTTCCGGACTCGCAGCATTCAGACCCTGGGCGTCCGTGAAAAGAGCACTCCTTTCCACATTTCTTCCTCGCCAAAACCTTACGGGTCCTGGAGCCCCTTTCCATGTTGGGTAGACACCGCGGCGGACTCCTCGGCCTCGTGGGTTGATGTAGAGAACGATCATCAGCCTGTCCTGGCCTCTTGGAAAAAGAAAATAACCCCTTTTCCATCACTCAAAACTGTTTTTAGGTATCTGTTTCGTTTACCCCTAACCCCGAGTAGAGTGCGTGGCACATGGTGACCCCACAATAAATGCATGGTTAAATGGATAATCCCAGAGAACTGTTACTTGCAACATAGCTTGTAATACTGAAAGATGTGAAATTATGTTAACTCCCGTCAGTAAGGAAACAAATAAATAATAGCCTTTCTATGCTGTTAAATACTATTTCAGCCATTTAAACATATATCTGTGTGGTCTGACTGCACGGATGTCCAGGACTTACTGCTAAAATAAAAACTGCACTGACATTGTGATCCCATTTGTAATTTTTTAAGTAAGATGTTTATACAGGTGTACATGCATGAAAGTGCATTGTTTAAAGGTCTGAATAAAAGGATACAACCTCAAGCTCTTAACAGTGGGATGGGATGTGAGGAAAGAGAAGAAAGCCTTTCACTTGTTATGCCACATATTTGTGTTGTTGGAATTTTTAAAAAGCTGAATGTAGCCATGTAATATTTGAGTAATAAAATTAAAAATTTCAAAACACTCCTCTTCCTCAAGTGTCTTGTGAAGAGGAAGCCAGGATGTCCAGGAGCTGTGTGCTGGTTTTGAAATCTGCTTACTGAGGGATCAATGAATTCTTGTTGATAGATTGATTGATCCATTGGGAGTGGCAGGCAAGCTTACCCACTTGGCTGGCCTCCACTCAGCCCTGGGAGGGAAGTTTATTTAAATTTGTAAGTAAGAACAATTCCAACTTGCAGGAGACCGAAAAGGAGGTTTTATTGGGCATCAGGGAGGGAAAAAAGAAAGGAAAGCTTTTACCTAAGATCCCCAAAGGGCCCAGGAGTTTTGTTCTTTTCTTTAACCTCAGCCCTTTCATAAATAAATTAAGGGGTGATGAGGTAATTAGATCCCATTCCATCAGTAATGGAGGAGGGAAGAAGAGGAGAGGAAGTCTAGCTGGAATGGGATATGATCAAAGATCAGTCTTAAAAGCAGATAAAATCAAATCAGCAGGCCTTTCCTAACTTGGAGTATTTAAGGAATTAATTGGCTGACAATATCAAGGGCTTCACTGCTCTGTGAATAGGTTCTCCTTAGTAAATCTGTCACAGGAGACCTGCAGCTAAGTTAACTACTTCATTGCTCAAAGACACCCCAGGACCCACCTTGCGGGCCCCAAGCAGTGGAGAGTGTGCCAAAGGGTAATATTCATCTCTCCCAGGGTCTTGAGTGGTCATCTTATTCATCAGATGAATATTTACTGGGCTCTGACTGCTGCCTGGCACTGTACCAGGGCTGGGGACACAGAGCAGAGAGTGAATCCGATAATGTCCCTGCACTTAAGAAGTCTCTAGGTTGGGAGGCCAAGGCCAAGGCCTTTAAGCTTTAAGTTCCTAAGAGCCATAGTTAGCACAGGTCTGCTTGGTATTAACCACAACAGAGAGCCTGTTTTGCCATGTAGCTAAATCACTAGTGCCTTGCCAACTGTGTTTCTAAAAAATATAAAAATAAATTAAAATTAAATGAAACAGGAAAGGCAGACAGAAAAGCTTTATCGCTTGCTGGAACACGCCAACCACTCGGAGGTAATTACACTTCTTCAAGTATGTGAATGTTCTCTGGCACTTGATTTTTCTGCTCAGTATACTATTCTCCCACCCTTTCCTTCCACCACCCATATCTGTTAAGTCTCCCTCATTCTCAGTTTTCTGATCTGTATAGCCTCTGAGAAGCATTCTTTGGCTCAGTAGGAGGCCCTGTTTTCCCCAGCCACTTTGACTGTTGACTTGTCTGACTTCCCACTAGCCCCTGAGTCTATGCAAGAGGAGCAGGATATATCTGAAGCACCAGTATAAGGGCAGCAACAGCAAGCTCTTGAAACATATTTATTAAACAAACAGAAATAAAAGCAAGGAGACAGAAAAAAAAAATTAAAGAAGAAGCAGAAAAGGTACGTATTATAGTTTTTTTTCCTAAATGAGCATTTATCCCTGTTACAGACACTACAGTAATTGAGAGCTAAAACACCTGGATCTGGTTGGTTGATAACAGTGAAAAGTAACAGGATAATGATACATGAAAAAAATCCATGTTATCACTTTTGTGGGGTTTTTTTTTTACATTATGTGTATTTATTTTTATTAGTTTCAGGTGTACAAAACAATGTACCGTGTTACCACTTTTTTAAGTTTAGCTTCTAAACACATCAAAATTCCCAAGATACTGTAGCAGTAGAGAGTGGGAAGCCCTAGATGAAGGATAGTTATTAATACCATTAGTGAGTGATAAATGTTTTGCTTTTAGAAAGGGAATTCTCAAGAAAGTGAATATCTAGGGCACAATGAAGACAGTTCTCTATAAATACTTTGTCTCATAGATGTAAAAGCTAAAAGTGCTCAAAAGTCTTCACTAAATCAAAGTCTGCTTCTTCTGTCATTCAAGTGGGTGATTCCTTGACCCATCTATTAGAGTACATCTAATCATTTCATCTCGGTATGTATTATGTGCCAGGGACTGTGCTAGATACCAGGGATACAAAGACGATACCGGGGCCGGCCAAGTGGCTCATTGGTTAAGAGTTGGATTGGGAGTGCGAGCTCTGAGCAGCAGGGCCACAGGTTCGGATCCCAATTGGGCCAGTGACGCTGTGCCCTCTACAGCTAAGATGGTGAACAACAGCTCGTTCTAGAGCTGGGCTGCTGTGAGCACCGGCAATAGCATAGGCTGCAGTGGACTGCTGTAAGCTACCGTAAGCAGCCAGCAGCCAGCTTGAGCTGCCGTGAGCTGCCATGAGCAGCCTTCCAATGGCCAGCGATCGATCTGCCTCACCCAGGAAGAGCGCAATAATAATACCAACATGGGCCAGTGAAGTGATGTCCTCCACAACTAGACTGAAGAACAAAAGGACAGCAACTTGTCTGTTTTCCCCCCCCCAATTTCCCAAAAAAATCTTTAAAAAAAAAAAAAAAAAAGACAAGATACCTCCCCACACTCCAAGAGAAGAGGAAAGAGGTAAAAATATGCAAATACCCAAACCTCAGTAACACAAGGCCCAATAAGGTGAGTGTCAAAAGAGATAACAAATAAGGTACCTTGTGGGGTTCAAAGGAAGAAGCGCTCCCACCTCGTTTGGATCAGAAAAGCCTTCTTGAAGAGATGGGCCTGGGAAGATGGAGATGGAGATGGAAGAGAGAAACTATTTCAGGTAGATAAGCAAAAAGCAGGGCAGAGGGAAGCACAACGCACATCTGTAGTCTCCACAAGTGCCAGTGGGATGGACTGAGAATGTATATGCTAAGGACATCCCAAAACAGAAGATTATTTTTTATTATCAGCACACATCCTGCTCACCTGGGATCGGGAATATGGTCAGCATGACCAGTCGTGCAAAGTAGTACTTTGCTAAAAGATAATTCATTGGGGTGGCAGGTTAGCTCAGTTGGTTACAGCATGGTGCTGATAACACCAAGTTTGCTGGTTCAATCCCCACATGGGCCACTGTGAGCTGTGCTCTCCTTAAAAAAAAAAAAAAAGATAATTCACTTTCCTTCCTTAGGCTTCTTCTGAGAAAGTTGTAAAAGTGTCCAAAAACTAGCATTGTTTGTTCTAAGCAACTATGATCAAAACAGAAGAAATGAACTAAAGAGAAATCTAATTAAAACTCTGGACCAGAAATATCAATCTAGTTTAGCAAAATGGAGGCATTGAGAGTGGGGGGAAATAGAAAAATAAATGTTCTCTAAAGGCTTAGTCATTATTTAATTGTGGTATGTTAATAAAGAAATATACATTTGTTTATGATGTTAACAATGGGAAGGTAACCATGGTAGAATTGAAAAGCATAGTAGAGCTTCTAAAATAACAGGGAGGGATAGGGAAATGTGATCAAGGCGGCAAAAGTAAGGAAAAAGAGAAAGACGAAATAAAGTAGAATAGTAAACATAAAGTAGAATGAAAGGAATAATATCCGATATATCTGTTATCATACAATAAACAGTCTGAATTCCACTTTCAAAAACAGAGTTTGTCAAATTGGATTTTTAAAAAATCTAGCTGGACGAAGGTCCCTCCACCTAAAAATGGCGGCTTCAGCAGTGAGGGGTGCTATGGCTCTGAGGACTACTGGCCGGCCCGTTGCTTTTGTCAGAAAAATTCCCTGGACCGCAGTCTCAAGTGAGCTGAGAGAACACTTTGCACAATTTGGCCATATACGAAAGTGCACTGTACCTTTTGACAAAGAGACTGGCTTTCACAGAGGTATGGGTTGGGTACACTTTTCTTCAGAAGAAGAACTTCATAATGTACTACAACAGGAGAATCATGTTATTGATGGAGTAAAGCTCCACGTTCAAGCTCAAAGACGAAAAGCTTTGCAAGGGGAGCAAACATCTGATGAAGAGAAAGATTTTTGAGACTATTACTGCCTATTAAATAACCCAAACTGAAAACAAAACAAACAAACAAAAATCTAGCTGGATCTTAAATATGAAAAAAAACAAAAC